GCTGTTCTTCCTAGTGTACTTTGCAGTAAAATCAGTACTTCTTTTGATTGAGGTGTTTAGCACTGTAATCAGCTGTGTGAAAGGAGCTGATGGCTTCCAGGCTTCTGAAGGAAAACTAAATGCAGATATCCTCCCATCAGCTCAATGACTGAGTCTTGTGGACTGCTGCTTTTCTTCAGCTGAAAATAAGCTGAGTTGTACTAAAGCTTTCTGAAATACCTCTAGAAGGCATATGTAAGTGGGCCTGACCTTGTGATGGGTTTAAACAACTGATAGATAAGATATGAAAGACTTACCTGATAAGAAGGTTCTGTTACTGTATGGCAGAAACAAAGTATTAAACTGAGAAGTGGCTTTTGGAAATAGAATTTTGAATGGACTGCATGAGAGGTATATTCACACTTGTCAGGGTTATCAAATGGTGGAGTAATAACTTGATCAGGACTTAGCAGAGACAAAAGGCTAAATTACTGTAAAATTTTAATCATGAACTGATTAAAATAAATGGTTACTCTTGTTCTTAGTGGCCCCTGAGTTCACTTCTACTGTTTCCTCCATGAATTGGTGTTTCATAAATTAATTTACTTCCTCACCTTTGGACTCATTATGTTCAGGTTATTTGTCTTGTTTAATTGGAGTGAGATTTAATTCACAGGGAATCATGTGATGTTACATTTAGTGTTGCACATTTGGTCTTACAAAATAATCAAGAAAACCTAATCCAGTAACAAAATCTGCTTACAATGAATGTAGTCTGTCTGCTACTGCTATAGCTACAGCATGCAGTTAGATTGAAATGTATCTTACTAGATAGACTCTCTTCCAATGCAATTACCTTTTTTTTAAATAGGGACTCTGTTTTTAGGATCTATTCTGTGACCACTTAAGTTGTCAAAAGCTTTTTGAAACACTATTACAGAGTTTGAAGTCTTTGAAGCCTACACAATGTATTAGTGTTTTGTATTACTAAGGAAATCCCAACATCCCAAGACGCTTTTGAAACTGGAAATATTTGCTTCCTTAGGGGAATTGATTTGAACTTAGAAATATTATTGCACATTGCAGTCTGCAATGCTGTCTTGTTACTTTTAGATTAGAGATGATTAAAAAGCCATAGTTGGGCGGCTGTGAGGATAATGTCTGTGTTCTTCAACTGCTCTGAGATTTCAGATCCAGAAGCTGGGATAAAGGCAAGTGAACTATGCCCTTGTCAACAATGTTTGCTGCAGACAAGTTGTTTTCCACTAATTATTTAAATTTGCTATTTTTGTTCTTCATTTGATGCTCTGTATAGTCTGTTTATGATGGTTTTTGTGAAGTAGGAGTAAACATTCAGAGTGAAACATTAGAGATGTTATTGTTTGTCACTACAGGACAAATTTTTTTTTGATAATTATTTCTTATTAAAGAGGTAAGTGGCTTTAATGTTGGGATTGTATGTATGTGTAGGATATTGCTAGGTGCAGGTGTTAGTTATAGAACATAAATGCTGGAGATGAATTTTCTATTTTGCTGTTGGTCACATATTCTCAAAGATCTTTACCAAGCAATGGGGTGGTGTTTGTGTCTATAGTAACAAATACAGTAAACAGACCAGGCAGGATGCATGAAACATCAGCTTGAGGGTACCTTCCTAAAAGGTTTCTGTGATTGATAGCATAGACATTTCCAGAGCTGGCAACACTGAAAGCCCTTGCTGTTCTGATCTAGACTGATCTGACAAAGATGCAATTTGAACCAGAATGCTGGCAGTTTTTGGTGAACTGTGTATCTGAGAATTTGCTGTGTTGTCATTTGAGTGTGCCCAAACTGGGCCTTGGAAATTGTAAGAAGCTCTTAAGTATCTTGGATAAATAGGACCTTAGGGGTTGTTATGCTGGAGATGAGGGGAAATCTGCTTGTCTTGATGGCTTCTTTCCTTGGGGCTCTATCTGTTCTTTCTATGTGGAAGCTGGACTTAGGATATCTTTGTGTAGGACAAATGTCCATTCTCCAAGTGCAGGCTGTAGCAGTCATCTGCCTAGGCAGTAAGCTGTTAGCAGAGGCAGGACTTGAATGAATGTTCAGTCCCACCATGATGGTTATAAATTCTTACACAAACATTGATAACTAAATAGCATTGTTGTGGAAAGTGAGCTTTCCTACTGGACACACAAAAACATAACAGTGGTTCTATCACTGGACCTCTTGGATCTTGGTGGATTTTGAATGGGTGTCAAGGTATGTACCATTTCTGTTCACTTGAGGTCTTTTCATAGCTGCAGAGAACCAGGTAATATTTCATTAATCTGAAGCACCAATATGGAACTATCCCAAAGCAGTCTGCTTAGAGAGCTAAAAGATAGGGCAGGGTTTGTCTGGCAGTGAGAGACAGAATCCTGTCTTAATGTTTGTGGAGCAGCACCTGAGGCTGGGATAGGAAAGATGCATGAAGAAAAAAAGATGAAGACATGCATGAAAATGCATGAAGAAAATTGCAAAGGTAGGACGGACAGAGAATTAAAAGGGATTAGAAGAGAGGGTAATGAGTTAAAATAGGGTTGGGTTGCCTGTGTGTGGTAGCATCCTAGAGCTTTGCGTGTGTCTGGAGAGTGCATCATCTTCACTGATTTTTATCATAATTTGTGAAGAAAGCTGTAGTCTCCCTTGTTTATTATCTTAAGTACTGGAGGCGGATCTGAATTTTCTGATTTGTCACCTGATAGGTAGATGTGGAATATCAGTTTCTTTTAGTTAAATTCTTAAACAACATGCAATGGCTACATTGAAACAACCTCTAAGTTGTCAAATGAAGGCACTTACAAATTCCAGAATGGAGCTTGCCTCTGCTTGGTTAATTAAGTTCTCTTACTGCACCTTCTGATACCATCTTTAATTACATGATCATATTAGTTTTTCCAAAGCTGCTTGCTTCATGCACAGGAGAGATCTGCTAAAAGGGTGAATTAGGGTTGTAAAGCGAAGGACACTTTTGCCTGGAGGAGTCTGCTGGACTTCTACCAACATGGAAAGATTCTGTTTGCAGGAGAATGCTGGCAAAGAGGAACTACCAAGAAGAGGGCAGGTGATCTGAAGTTTAAATATTCCTTGGATTATTAGCTATGGTATTAGGCAAAGTACTTAAAGCAGTCTTTTTCTACATGGTGTGTAAGCATGGGTTGTGTTTTTTCAGTGTTTCTTGGTGGAAATGTTGAGTACTCAGAATAGTGATATCTACTTAAGTAAGTAATGACAAAAGCACCCAGATCCTGGGTCTCTCAAGTTGGCTTCTCAAATCCGCTTGCTACTCTGATTATTTTTGTGGGTTTTTTTTTTTTGTTGGGTTTGGGGCTTTTTTTATTATTATTATTTATTTTTATTTTCTTCTGCAGGAACATCAGTGATGTAGAACTAGGACATACAATTCATTTTCACAGGGCTGTTTAAGAAGTAGTTGTGTACCGGCAGATACCTTCAAGTAAATGAGCAGATGAGCTAGTTCTTACTGGTTATGTGCAGTCCTCTCCACTGCATCTGGTTCCAGGTGGTTTATAACCTGGAAAGTAGTTTGTATGGAGTGCCAGCTTCATTCTGGAAGTGGAACAGATAAAAGTGTGCAGGATTTATGCTGGTTATGCTGGCTTCTCCACACATGGAATATGTTATCTACAAAAAGGATGGGCTAGATTGTGTTACTTGTATTGTGTGAGAGTGCTTAGCAAATGCATAGGCAATGCATTGTAAATGCTGAAAGAAGTAGGGCTAGGATGGAGGGGGGAGGCTGATCATGCGATTGAATCCTGAACATGTGAATATGTGTGTGTACATATATACAGTGTGGCATGCATAACCTATTTTCTTGCCTCAGAAATCTTAACAGTTGTACCCTGTATATTTTTGGACTCTTAAAATGGCAAAAGTTGCTGCTACTTTTGAGACAGGCTGGATGTTTTCCTGTGCTAGCAGTTTCAAGAATATCAACAGAGCACAGATACAGGGAGCAGAGATGTTCACTACAGAGAAATTTTTCATCTTTTAAGATATGCACAGAGAAATCCCTTCTATACTGGCAAAGAATTGCTGTATGGGATTTGGCAGCTTATGCTACAAAAAAATTCTCTTTGTTGTTGGGTGCTTTTGGTTGGGCTTTTTTCACTATGGTCCCAAACCAAAATGAATTAAATGCCTAGTTGGTTTGAAAAAATGAGAATAAAAATTAAAACTTTATAAAAAGAAAAAGGGGGGGGTGGGTGCATGAGGGGTAATATGTTCTCTTAAGTCTCTCAAATATCTGCAGGATATCAATCATTATTTAATTTTAACTTTCCCCTGCAGGTGTGCAACTACTTTGATACTCAGATATCTAGGATATTAAATAATGGATGAGAGGAATGTTTCAATGCTGGATCCTATTCTCAGTCCTTTAATATGACAACTCAATTTATTTAGCTTTGGATACATAAAGATTTTATCTTTTGTTCTTTTTTTTCCTTTGGTATTGATACAGATGCACCCTTCCATGTGAATATGGTGCTCTAGAGATGTTTTCAACTGTTTATATGGTTTCTGGCAGAACACTTCTAAGAACTTGTAATTATATCTATTACTAGAAGATATGAAAAAAAAATACAGAACTGCTATTTTTTTTACCTGTTCAGTCTATGCAACATTAGTTACTAAGCAACTCTGAAGAGACATGGTCAGATGGCAAAAGTGTCATAATGAGAAACTGAAAATGCAGTGATATGCATAAAATGTTTATTGCACAAGCTTTTGTTGGGCTTGTTTATTTCAGTAGCACCTTATTTCAGTCACTGGTCTCCAAAGTTTGAGCATTATAAGCTATTATTGTGAGCAAAATTCTAAGGGGATTACATAAAACATGCTTTAGAAATTCTGTCCTCAAAGTGAATTAAAAGAAGAAAAGTTTGTGTTCTCTTTAAGTATGTTCTTTTCTGTTACACACTAATTTGATGTGCACTGGTATATTTATGTTTCTTTTTGGTTTTTCTTTTTAACAGATATCTGTGGATATGAAAGCTCAGGACACAGTATCAATCTCATAATGATGCTTGAACATCTGTAGCTCACTGGAGGATTTAAAAAAGAAATTCAGCATGACCTAGTTGGCTTGACCTGTGGAAATTTTATAATGTCCTCTGGAACACGTATCAGCAGAAATAGGCAGGCTCCCAGCCTGCAGGGTGTTGACCCAGAAACATGTATGATAGTGTTTAGAACACACTGGGCACAGGTAAAGTTAATTAGTTTTATTGATTGAAGTAAGCTGCATTGATACAAATTTGCTTCATTCTTTTTTTTTTTTTTTTTTTTTTTGATAGTCCTGAATTGCTCAGGAACAAATGTCTTTCATGTAGAATGTAGTAGATGACACTGAACTATTTCTAAAATGCAGTTGACCTTTGAAGATATGGTTAGCCTTTCCTAATCACACTCGGAACTCTGGATTTGCATCTAAATGGGAAGTGGTAGGACATGGTAATATCTTATTGAAGGCCTAGATCTTCTTACTGGCTTTCCTATTGATTCATTGTGACTTGCACTCTCTTGCAGATTTCTGTGCTTCTTTTCCTTGTGCTGTTTAAGTCTTGTCTATCCTTTGGAAAGTAAATTAGATGCACAGTGCAAAGCTGTATGCACTCTTGTTTACTATGGATAGATGTAGATTATATATTTCAGCATATTCTAAAAAATGTTTGCATGTCATCAGGATTGTAATTGCTTCTGAGCAAAGATGTTTTGCGGTGAGCACCATAATATAAGTTCTTGTTTGCTGCAGTAATAAAAATAACCTAACAATTTAGATAAAATTGATTTCTGTACTGCTGTTCCTGTTGTTCTTTGGCTCTCCCAAGAAGCCACCCAGACAAATGGTGGTGTTTCTAAGATGTTTCCTGAGTCACAGGAGCTGTCATTCAAGAGTCACCTTTTCTCACCTAACTAGTGATGTGTTGTGTTAGGGGAGCCACTGTTCCTTTATGGTTTTGTGGCAATTATCCTCCACAGAAAGGCTAAAGACAATGTGTTTTTTGCAGACAGTGAGCTTTATTGTTTGCATGCACAACAGAATGTAGTTCAGGGTTAGAAGTGCTGATATAACTATTATTACTATATTGAAAATTGCAAGAGTATGTGGGCATCAGTGGCCATTGGGTATCATGTAAAAGGTGTCAGGCAAAGAGCAGCACTGTGGGCTGCTGCTATTCTTACTACTGCAAATCATCCCATGATATTGATACTCCTGAGCACAGTTGCTCTGGCTGGAGAACGGGCCCTTGGATTTCAGTCCTCTGTGACAAACTTGTTTTAAACATCGTGAAAACTCAATTTCTGAACGCTAAGGAAACCTAGTTTATCCCTATTTGAGAGAACTCCTGGTTATCAGGAGTAGGAGATACAACAAATTTAGGTGCTTATTAAAAAAGGTAAACAACAGCAGTATATTTTTGCCTTGTATATGCCAAATGTGAAACTTTCAGATTTTGTCTGTCAAACTTCCTGAATTTGAAAACATAGAAAGACTTAATGCTTTTTGTGTTAAATAATTTTGTTAATTTGTTTTCCTCGTAGTGGTAAGTATAGCCTGCTTTTTATGATGCATTCAAGTGCATTAAAACTGGTCTGTCTTTGTTTTTTTCTCCTTAGGTTCTGAAAATCTTAGAGAAGCATGATCCTTTGAAAAATACTCAGGCAAAGTATGGAGCAATCTCACCTGATGAGGCCAGCACTGTCCAGAATTATGTGGAGCACATGCTTTTCTTATTAATTGAGGAGCAAGCAAAAGATGCCTCGATGGGACCTATTCTGGAGTTTGTGGTCTCAGAAAACATCATGGAGAAGCTTTTCCTTTGGAGCCTACGACGAGAGTTCACTGATGAAACAAAAATTGAGCAACTCAAAATGTATGAAATGCTCGTAACCCAGTCTCATCAGCCTTTGCTGCATCACAAGCCCATTTTGAAGCCTTTGATGATGTTGTTGAGTTCCTGCTCAGGAACAACCACTCCAACAGTGGAAACAGAGTTGGTTGTCCTCTTGAACCAGCTCTGCTCTATAATAGCCAAAGATCCCTCCATTTTAGAACTGTTTTTCCACACTAGTGAGGACCAAGGAGCTGCCAATTTCCTCATTTTTTCCCTGCTCATCCCCTTCATCCATCGAGAAGGAACAGTAGGCCAACAGGCCCGGGATGCACTGCTTTTCATAATGTCTTTGTCTGCAGAAAACAACCTTGTTGCAAACCACATAGCAGAAAACACCTATTTTTGCCCAGTAAGTTGTTCTTATTTTACATGATCTTCAGCACTAAACTAACTGTCTTTCCTGCATTATTTCCTCCTTTTCTGTCATTTCTGGTAAAGAAGTATTGTAACACATTTGTTTCTGCTAACACCTATTTCACAAATGGTAATGCTGTTTTAAACCATCCGCGGTGCCAAACATAGTCTTGCTTCCTGTTTCCAGACCAGTGTCTTGTGCTTTTGGGCCAGCACAAGTGTTTTTGCAGTCACACAACGAATTGGATTGGAAAAACTGATGGAAGTTGTAGCAGAACATAGTGGGAGGGAAATCTGTTCTGTCTCACTGTGAGGCACCTTTAAGATTCTGCGGCTGAAGGGAGAAAGGGGGGTAAGGTGTCCTGAGGTGATTGTTTCAGGTGCCAGCACAAGCTTAAGCTGTCTGTGCTTCCCATGCTGACATCAGTTCAACAGTTCAAAAAATTAGTGTGAGATTAGTGAGAGTGTTACAGAAATGTTGTAAATTTTGCAAGCTTAAAGGGAGATTTGCTCGTTGTCACAAAATGGGGTATTTCTATGTCTGTCTCAGGCTAACCACCATCTTGCTATGTTTTTCTCTGTTATGAAACTTGGTAGCACTGTTGCATTGGTACACCTGGCAAATTGATCTTACTATATGAATAGAAAACCTTAACTTACCTTGCTGTTAAGTAAGTAATCTGATTTAACTAACAAAGCTGTGCTACTGCAGTTTTAAAGTTAAAGCAGACTGGAATAACAACACCTGCTTCTTTATGTCTTATTTGTCTGAGATCTGCAGTGGGTGTGTTCAAACCCAAGTATCATGCTGTACAGAAGTTTTCTTGCGGGTCAGTTTTTGAACGGATTCTTTTATATTCTGCATGGCTTGTGTTTTAATTTAATAAATCCTGGAAAAATGAAGTGAAGGAGAGTCTTACATGGCTACTAAAACAGACAGCTGTAGAAGAGAGTGCACTAGAATCCTTGATGCTGCTCAACAGCTACTCCAGCCTTAGGTTTCCATGTATTCTGACATTGCTTTGAACAGTAGGGCACATTTGCAGGGTAGGTGAGGCCTACAAATTCCACAACAAAACTTTTAAATTATTTCTTTTGTCAGTTGTAAATATTGCATCAATTTGAGGCTCCAGTATGACCTTGTTTAATAGGTGCTGCCAAAGAATATGATATTGATTCTCAAACTGTCCCCAAGACAGATACCATTATTGGATCTATGCTATAACTTCCGTAATTACATTTTCCAATTAGTTAAAAAGAAAAAAAATAACCAGCCTTATTACATTGAAGATAAAAGCCAGCTTTCAACAGCAGGGAGCCATGATCGACAATCATTCCAATTAGGAAGGCTTCTTGTCAAAATGTGCTAAAATCAGACTTTTCTGAACAGTAATGAGGTTGGCCTAAGTCTATAATAAACCTTCAATGTAATGCCATATATTTAGCTTACTAGCACAATATCTTTCTTGAATTTGAGTTCTGATGAGCTGAAAAACAGATTTTGTTCTGAATGAGTGTTTTGTAGGTGTCAGTGACATTGCTGTGTATCACTGAAATAAGTGCAAATGTTGCCTCAGGTACTCTGCAAAACAGCTAATGCAGTCCTGTGTTGATTGCAGAGACATTTTAGGTGGCACTGTGTTGATGTGATGTGATCTCTGTTTCTGGGGACAGATTGGCATGTAGGATTTTCTTTACCATGCCTTATTGCATAATATAGGCAACCCCTAGGGTGAGGTCTGGCCTTAAGTCTCAGCTGCCTCTTGTACCCAGATCAGTGTTAGATCTGTGCCAAGGTGAACTTGAAGGTTTTCTTGTTACTGTTTTTTGTCTTTGGTTAACAGCTTTTTAAAAACTGGATTGTCCATAGATCTGCAGTATTCAAAACTTCGGATGAAAAAACTAGAAGGAAAGAAGGAGACTGTTTGCAGTGGGATGCATCACTTATAAATGTTTTTAACACGAAATGTGTGGGCAAACTATTTGGTAAAGTTTTCTTAGTTTACACCAAATAATTTTTATCATGTTTTGACATGAAAGTTTTCTGGATATGATTGAAGATATTATGTGTTCAGCAACGGAATAAGAAGAAAAATGTTTCAAACGAATTTTGAGCAGGGTAACATCTCAAAGTCCCTCACAAAACTTTGTAAATATGTTGCAGCTTAGGAGAGCAATTGTTACAGCAGGAGGAGCGATGGCTCTACAGTGCCCTTAAAAATTGCTGCTGCATAGAGATAGAAAGACAGACTATGGATGTGGGAGGAGAGAAAATTATTAAAAGGAAGTAATTGTCCAGGTAGCAATTGATTATGCATTAACAACACATTATAATCACATAATCTGCCTGGGATTACAAATCATGTAGTCAGTGTCTTCTCTGAGTCAAGAGAAAATAAATAAATCAAAGAAACTGGTTTGTAGAGAAACTCATGATTCAATGGTCAGAAAGAAACGGCTGGAAATGCTTGTAAAAGTATATGAGAATGTAGGGCTGACATGATAAATTCTTCATGAAGTTTAAAAGGACACTGCTTTGCGTAAAACAAAATATAAAACAAATCTTGCTTTTTTTCCTTCCCTTTCAGATTATTTTTTTCATTAATGTTTCATTACTGATTAAAAATCTATTTTGTTGGTAATTTCAGCTTGTAGCCCTATTTATACCTTATACTTCATGAACATTTTAAAATACTTTTTATCTAAAGAGATGAACTTGCTTCCTGTGGCTACTCTGTCTCAGTGCTTAAGAAACATAATTCCATAGAGCCATTTCTGTTGTACTTCATTGCAAAAATAAGAGCTTCCTAAACTTCACAGATTTTAGCATCTGCATGTGTCACTTCTTACTTCAGTAAGTTTGACAAACTCAAGAATTCAGACATTGATTGATTGTGAGTTCACTGCTCCTTTTAGTGGAGAGTAGTATGTTTTGTTCAAGGTCAGCTTCTTGTGCTTAAGAGCTAATACCCATATGAAGGAGAAATGTGGATGGGACAGCTCTGAGAATCAGATGGCATACTGAGAGGGTGCATTTGTGTTTATGAATAGCATTTAAATTTTAAGCAGACAATGGAAAATTGAGTGTGCATTAATTAAAAGTTCACAAGACAAACAAATGTCAAATCCTCTCACTGTTGTAACCTTGGGTTTGTGAGAATAAGTGCTTGTGTTATGTACAGATTATGTACAGGTAGTTCTATAAGAGCTTTTTTCTGAGCTCTTCTACTGTGAGAAGGAATAAATCCCAAAGAGATTCTGGTTGGAGAAGAATGAGATTGTACGAATAAAGCTTTGCTCAATTGCTTTAACTCCTCATTTTTTTAATGTATGTCCAGCTTTGTCCTTTATCTATCTATGCATATAATACTGCACATATATCACTGTACTAAAGCAGTCAATTTCCACAGTTTTCTCCCTCCCCTTTAATATTTGGCTTCCTTACCTATGCCAGAATAAATCCATATTCAAAATTGTGTGAATTAGGAATAAAAGGTATTCAGAAAGACAGCCTTTGGTTGTATGGGTTAACAGTTACAATTGCTTGTGCTTGTGCATGATCAAAACCTGATCACCTTCTGTGAACCCTCGGTCTTTGATATGGACATTTTCAGCTGTTTGTTTTCCAGTGTTTTCTAGCAGATAAGAGCAGTTTCATCTGATCTTTGGCAGTCTAGCCCTGTAGATGTCAAGTAGCCATTTGTAAGAGGAAATAATCTAAGAAGAATCTGATGAATGAAAGCTAAAAAGACTACCATCTGGCTGAGTTATAGTGTTCCCATTAAAATGAGAATCATCTTAAAAAGTTATTGTGAAGTTGTATGAAATCATCTCAGAAAGATTAGAGTCCTGAGTAATACTTAGAAAGTTTCTGGCTTTGAATAACTTTAATAATTAAAAAGTACAGCTGAAAATACAATACTCTAGATACATTCAGCAAAATTTTAAAACCTTTTTGGAAATATGCTTTCTAAATTGTAACTAAAAATGCTCTCAATCTTCAGTGATACATTCTACATGAATCATCTGTGAGGCTTAAAATTACTGGAAACATTGTTTAAATAATAACCAATTTCAGACTTTTTTTAATTTTTTTTGCTTCCCTCCTTCAGATAAATAAGGATGGAAAAAGGGAAATTATGAACAGTTAAATTTACTTTTTTTAAAGTGGATTCAGCTGAGTTTAAGTGCCTGGCAATCAAAGACATCATGTATCTGTGGTCTAAATGGGGCTGAACTTCATTTTTGTTGATGGGGCAGTTTCCCCCTCCATTTCTGATGTTTCATGTTTCTGAGTGAAGTGACTTCATACATGTTTGAGCAGTGACATTTGAATCAGCAGCACAAGACAAGCTGCAGATAATTGCACTGATGCCTGTTTCTAAATGGGACTGAAGGAAAGCACGAAATAAGTTTAGAAAAATTTAAAAATAAATTAAAACTTCGGATTACAAACAAAAAATCACAATAACCTTATTTTCTCCATCACCTTCTCCTAAATACCAGATCTTGAAAGAAGAATATTATATGGTAGGCTTTTTAAAATATTTATGTCTTTCTGCCACAGGACTTTTTTTGAAAGGAATTTAAATTAATCTTAACATTCTCTTTTATTACTAAAACTAATAGGAGAAACCATTTGGGGTACTGCCATTCAGGCAGATGGACAGTTGGAAAGTTAACTTATTTCCTCTTCTGTTTCTGAAATACAGGTGCTAGCAACAGGACTGAGTGGCCTCTATTCCTCTTTGCCTACAAAGCTGGAAGAAAAAGGAGAAGAATGGCACTGTCTGATGAAAGATGACTGGCTTTTGTCACCAGCCCTTGTACAATTCATGAATTCCCTTGAATTTTGCAATGCTGTGATACAGGTAATTGAATGGAGTTAGACTGTTTTTTAGAAGTAGTAGTAAGTTACATCTCCTGCAGAAGTTTGTAAGTTACAGAGTTTATTTATTTTTGTTAATAGCATAAACTATTAAAGTTAGACTAAAACAAGCTGCTTGTAAACACAACCTTGTGCTGGTTATAAGGACGAACTAATATATTTGTGGTTTTCAGGTGCCAAGTGTTTCAAATGAAAGCTTGATATTGCATTATGTAATTGGGACCATCTCCATTTAGGAGGAAAAAAAAAATATTTATTGCATTTTATTACTACTGTTGATCCTAGAAGTAAATTGAATGCCTTTACATGTGGGAAAATGTAGGGTTTATATCTGTATCTGTGTAAGCTCTTGTAATGGCGTCCAAAAGAAAATAGCAAGAATAGTCTGTTTTGCCTTTTGGTGAGTACAACGTAAAAAAAGCCTTCCAAGCAGAATTATTTAGGTCTCCTCTTAGAAGTGTAAATTCATTTTGGATTGGCTTGTTTTGAGTCTATTCTGTTCATCCAAGGCTCATTTTTAGTGCTTTGCTCCCTTATTGTTTTTTTCTGATTTAAATGTAAAATAAAATTCTTGTCTTTATATATTGTTTTTCTTCAATACTCAGTAGAACCCAAATCCAGTATTCCATTAAAACAGGATAAAAATTCTACAGAAACTGTGGATTTTTATTATTTGTACTGACTTGTGCTGGATAGGATTTAAAATTTAGTCACATTTACTGTTAAATAAAAGATATGTTTCAGTGCAATGCATGCTAAGTACAGTAAAAGAACTGATTGACTATTAAAGTCTTGAACAAGCAAAAATAATAGTAGCTGTCATTGTTCAAATGCACTATACAAGATTTTTAGCACGCATGTTTAAACATGAAGAGGAGAAAATATTAATTTTGGTGTCTAACCAGAGTTATTATACAGATCTACATTTGCAGGAGATCATAATTGATACCTTTATTGTAAAAAAATTATAAAGGACACTGCAGAAAAATTAAAGAATGAATTATTTTAAAAATACTGTTCAAATAGATGCAAAATGGTTAACCATATCAGCTGACATGCAGAAAGAGTAGTTTTTGACTGCTGCTTGATTGTGTCTGTATAGTTTTCAGCTAACTTGAAAGATCAGTTACTGTAGAATTTTTGCTTTGCACGTGGAGTGGTCCGTGTTCACCCAAAAATTTTGGCCAGAGATTAAAAAGGAACAGTGTAGCCTAGACCACTTTCCATTTACTACTTTTTCCCTGGACCACAGTGTAGGAAGGGCCACTCTTTTTCTTCCTCTTACCAAATTAAGAGTTACAAGTTAAAGGAAGTCTGGTAAGAATTGCAGGTTGGAGAATATTGGAGGCCACATATAGGCTGTGACACTCCAGTCTCTGTGAACTTCAAACATAGTATATTGGCTTTGAAAGCTTCTGAATGGAATTTTATTTTGCTTTTATATACATGAATTGATGTGTTTTTGTTGCAAAGACAAAATGAATATTTAATTATAAAAGTAAGTTTTTGGCTTCTAATAATATTTTGGGGGTGTTAGTTTGTTTGTTTTAAAGCTCTTAACCATCCCATTGAATAAATTATACAGGTTTTGTTTTAATTTCTGTTTGTCTTACAGTGGCTGGGAGAAGGGCATGTAAATAGTGTATTCTTACCCCATAGCTAGAGAGTGCTTTGGTTAACCTACTCTTGAACTATAAGAAAGCAGCTGTTCTGCTTTTCTTTATTGTAGAAGGACAAGTTAACAAATCCACCTTCAAGTTAGCCCAACAAGGTTGCAGGAGCTGAATTTAGAATTTCAGATCTTGCTTTGATATGTGGCTATATACACTTATCCATTCATCCATCTATCCATTCATCTTTGTCAGCATGCAGGAAGATTGAAAAGCCATGTCTAAGTTTGGCAGACTTACTGTAATGTAATTAAACATGATGTGTGTATTTCTTTGTAAAAGAAACAGTTGTTAAGAACCCAGATCATATCAAATGCTGGTGAGAAGGACAAACCAATGTCTTGTTAAATGGGAAAGGGTTTTGGTAGCGGCATTCTGTGCCCTGTCTTTGAAATCTCACTGAACTGTTCTGTGTCTTTCTCTCCCCCACCCTCTTAGGTGGCACATCCCTTAATACGCAGCCAGCTTGTGAATTACATTTACAATGGATTTTTGGTGCCAGTAATGGCTCCTGCACTCCATAAGGTCAGTGATGTCTGCAAGCTTGGCACAAAAGAATAATGGGGAAAAAGTATTACGGAAATTTCTGTGTAAAGATACTATCAGACATATTGTCAGTAGTGAGTTCCATGCAATTCAATATGTTTCTAGACTAACTTTCCTTCTTTTCATTCTATATGCTTTCTTAAGCAACATATAGGTATTTCTGAAAATGCTTAAAATCCTTAAGTGTAATGAAAAACCAAAATGTTTCTGTTTTTCTAGATTCACATATCATCAAAAAAGCAGTGACATTTTAGACATTTCATCATGGCAGACATGTTTCCATGAGCACTTTTTTCCTAAATGAATATTTTTCTAAAGGAAGATGTCTACAAGGGAAATTTTTAGTCAAGAAATATTATGCTAGTATTAGCAAAAATGTTATTGATCTGTAATTCCTTACCATTTTGTGTAGAGTTATTTTCCTAAAGTAGAGTTTGGTATCAGTTTTCTGATATATTAGAGTGCAATTTATGTTACTTTGAAGAAAAAAATCCATTTTTTCATTGAATTTTAGGGCTTATCCCTTGCAAAACGTGTCACCAATGTTAGTGAATTATGTTTTTTTTTTTTTTTTTTTTGGTTAGGCTGCAAAAAGCTGCATTTCCAACTGTTGCAGAATATGTCAATTATGTCAATTCCCTATCCCTGAAAGTGTTCAAGGCTAAGTTGGATGGGATTTTGAGCAACCTGGTGTAGTGGTATGTGTTCCTACCATCAGTAGGGGAGTTAGAACTAAATGATTTTTAAGGTCCCTTCCAACCCAGGTCATCATATGGTCCTGTGATTTTATGAGTCGACAGTCTTCATTGCTTTGTAAAAGAGCACCTCTTTTGAGGAGATATGTAGGAACAGCTGAGTGTAAAAATCCACAAAAGACTTGCAGAAGCAAACTAAAAAATTACTTTTGTAAGGTTTCCTAAATCTCACAAAACCTACCAAGCACAAAGCATTGCAGCTGTTCCATTTTCTGGAGGACAGTGAAACAGTGTGCCCTGCTTTCTTGTTCACCATTTGTTTTGGTAGCACACGGAATTCTTCATGGTAAGTAGTCACCAAGAAAGTCATCAGCAATGTAGAGTCTTTTTCAATGATTTAGCAGACCTCAAACACTTGGCAGTTGGGTGAGGGTTGAAGTAAAATTTGACTGTGATCCAGATCAAGGCTGTAGTCTGTCCTGAGGCAGTTCACCTCTTTACCTGGCAGTAATTTTTTCTATTCCTGTATCTGGACTTAATCCCTTACCAAGACTAGGAATTAGAAGTGAAAAGCCTAACCAGTTTTAGGTCAAGGTTATGGATAATGAGGGAGCTATCAGAATGGATTCTAGTCTTAGTGAGTACTATTTTATCTCTGAAGTATTCAACACTAATCTTAGATTGTTTTGAATACTTTCATGCCTCTGAAAGCCATTCTTATCAGTCAGTAAATCTCCTGATGTCCTATTGGGTTGATTACTTCCCTGTTGATGTTAAATAATTTAAAGATGGCTGTTGTGATTCCTTTTTTCCTTTGATGAAAATTCTGTTTCTATGCTCTGAAAGTGCATAAAATCATATTTCTCTTGAAAATGGGGATGTTGGCTGGTAACATAGGTGACTTTCAAAGCCTAGATCTTTCTTGAACCCTGATATTTTGTTTGGTGTCTTGTTCTTCCAATAATAAACCTTTTCTTGATTAGCATTAAAATTGACTTCTTCCTCATTAAAAATGAACTTCTTGTGTATAACCTTCAAATGATTTTAATGGAGAAGATGGATTGCACCATCTAGTGGATCTGATACAAGGCTCTCACTGTCTGTGAGACCAAAACTCTATAGCAAAAGGAATTAAGTAAGTTGAGGCACATTTGACCTCTTCAGTCTTTCTATCCTGTGCTTCATGTTAATAATAGAAAATAAATCTTTTGCCTTTTTGCTTTTGGAACATATGTCTATGCATTATGATAATTATGCTGCAACACCTCTTTCACACATTGAAATAATTTCTAGTTGCCATTGAAGGCATTGATGCTAAGGGGAAGAGTGGGCTTTGAAAACTGTATCTCCCATTTGGGGACTTAATATTGTAATTAACCTTGAGGTTAATAAAAAATTGGAAAGGGCCGAAATGAGAGGCCAGATGTATCATGACTGTTTTTAAAACAGAAATTCTTTCATTTAGTACAATACTAAATGGATCTTGATTTTTTTTTTCTTTTAAACTGACTGAAGTTGGTTTGGTGTCATAAAGTCTACTTGTGGCTGCAGATTTTAGTTTTAATTCAGTCATTCAGTTCAGATTGTTCTGCTTCATTCTGGCTTGAGTTCAAATGCAGTGTGTAATGGAGCATGGTATAAATACCTGATCAGGAAGAGAGATCAGTGCAAGGTTAAAGGATGCTAAGAAGAGATGATAATAATTACTGGTACATTTTCCTAAGGTGTTTCTATAAGTCTTGTTTCTAGAATTTAACTGGTGTGGAACAGCTGCTTCTGATAATTCATGGTGATAGGAAGGAATTCAGTCAGTCAGTCTAGACCTCATGTGGCATACTAGTCTTAACATCTCACATCCAATCTCACTCATGGTTCAGTCTTAATGTAAAAATTGGGAGGGAGATGAGCTCCTGGCTCTGCCTTTGAATGGCTTGGGCACACAGACTACTTACAAACCTGTTCTTTTTGTACTATATTCTGGTTTTTCTATATGAAGTATGTTCTTAGGAAAAAAAATTGCTGTGCAGCAAGGCACAGACTAGCATTAATTGTTTTTGCAAAGACAGTTCCAGTCAAGAATGGGATGGGACTAGGTATCTCAAAGGTTCCTTCCAATCCTATCTATTCTGTGATTGAGTACTGTGATGTCTTTAATGTACTTTGTCACCAGGTGCCCATCCCCATTCAGCAGTGAGCATGCATTTTTCATGGTCTTTCTTTTACTGTTGAAGCTCTTCAGCTCCAGCTGGGGTTTGGCTTTCCTAATCCTTTCTCTGCATACTCGGGCACTTTTTCCTTATTCCTCTTGGGTCACCTTTCTATGCTTCTGTCTCTTCATGTTTCAGACCTTTTAGGACCTCTCAATTCATCCACACAGACCTCTTACCTACTTTCTTTGATTTTCTTCTCATCTCCCAACTTAGAACATCTGACTATCAAACAAAACTTTTGGTTAAAGTAGCATAAGAATTTCAGTAAGTAGAATTTAATTAAAAATTGTTTAGAGTTTCAATATGTGGTTCAAAACTTTAAGATATGTTTATGTGTGATCATGAAATGTTTGTAACATTTATGGAACCATGTAGTAAGCTCTGCCTTTTTAAAATTTTTGCAGATTGTCTCCCTATAAATACTTACTATGTACACAGTTCACTGTGTGAATGAAACAGTACAAGACTGTTGAGGATGGAGATGTGTTTCTATGAAAAAGTCAGGGGGTGGGGAGACCAATATATTTTTCTTGGTGTGATCTTTCTGGTTTTATCTTGGGAAGCTAGTATGGAGTTGAAAGAAAGAGTTCTCTAGTTCAGGCTTTTTTCCAGTTAAGGAAGTTTCAAATTGATTGGGCAGGCTAGCTAGCTTGAAATAACCTGTTTTTCGCAGTGAGCTCTGTGAAGGTTATTTTTGGAGCAGATTAACTGTGATGTGCTTAAATAACCAAAACATTCTCAAGCTTATGACTCCCTAACTTCATTTCTCAAAGATAAGTATCCTAAATATAGCATGTTCTTGTAGCCTAATTTATACCTTATCTGTCCTAGTCTTGTCACTTTGTGTAGGTTATCCCACCTACATGTGTAATGAGCGATTGACAAATGTGTTCCTATCTCCAAAGCTGCACACTGCTGAATGGGTAGTCAGAGCCCAGATTTGTATTATGTAGCTGGGGATGTGCATTAACTGACTGTGCTGGTGAGCCCTGCCTTGTTTTTTGGTTATCTGGATGTTATTGTACTTTTTACAGAAGAGTCACCTCCTTTGCTTCCGACATAGGAGTTGTTTGAGCCATCAAAAAGAGTGATTCAGTGAAACTGTTTGCGGAGCAGGGGGGAGAGCGTGTCTTTGTGCAAGGTCACAAATTCATTTGAAAACAGGATAAAATGGTTTGTCTGTAAAGATACAGAGCTAAAGAAAATGTTACTTTGGTAGGTTTTTTCCATTATTTAAATTTTTGCCCAAACCATCTTTTATTCTTTCTGGTGTGAGTGTCTGGGATTTAGAAAAATTAGGACTATCTGACAGAAACTGTTCTTAAATTAAGACTAGTAACTTTTGATGGCATGTCAGTTACAACTTGAAATTATGCAGCTCTGTATGTTCTCCCCTATATTTTGATATGTAAGAAGAAATTACTCATGAGAAGGTGTAGTTCTGTTCAGAGAATGGTACAGAGCCATTGGATTCTGTGATATTTCACTGGCTATTTCCTGCTGCACTTTCAAAACTAACATTGAGCTCTATCAATAAAATACAAGGTCTTCTGGGGCCAGATTATATAAGGGTCTAAGTAATCGAATAAGACTAATTTTCTCCTCGGCTGAAACCTCATTGAAATCCCAGAGTGAATCCAGAATAACCCTGTTGAAGTAATTTTTACTGGTCTGTTAGAGGCTGTATTGTCTTATTTTGGTCTCAATGTTTTTGTTAGTAGACTGTGTTTATTTACCTTATTCTTTTACGTAGTTACAGCACTTCTGTAGAAATCTAAGTGAAAGCCTTTTCAGAAGGTCTTGAATATGTATTTATTTTGCAGTCAAAAACATGTACTAGATAATTAGGAGCCACACTTTGGTATTTATAAATATTTTGTTTCCTTTGATACAATTCAGATTGGTTATATACATCCTTTCACTGTAAACACTTGTGATTTCATCTTAGGTTGGCATTCAGAGAATTTGGTTGACAAAGGCAGCTATTCAGACCATCTTGTATGTTTATGCAGTTTGCGGTACTTCAATTTATTGAAGAAAGCACTAAAATCTGACAAATTATACGATAAAAGCA